ATGAGCGAGAATTAATAGCAATAGTCTTAGCAGTCCAACGTTGGCGAACCTACTTGATCGGTAGACGGTTCACAATTCGGACCGACCATCAAAGTTTGAAGTTCTTATTGGATCAATCAGTTCTATCCCCATAACAGCAACACTGGATATCCAAGCTACTGGGGTACGACTATAGACTTGAATACAAAGCAGGGGCTGCTAACCGAGTGGCGGACGCCCTCTCATGGCACCCACAGTCATTTCAGTTACTTGTATCTTCCCCAACTTTTCCACTCCTGGATCTACTGCGAAAAGAAGCCCAATCCCATAAGGAGTTACAACAGTTGAAGGCCCAAGTATTGGCAAATCCCTCACTGCACCTCGAGTACACAATTAAGAATGATCTACTCTTCTTAAAAGGACGCCTGGAGATCCCGACAGCCTCTGCTCATCTTAGGAAGCTCCTGGAATTATTCCATGCCTCACCCACGGGTGGCCACTCCGGCATCCTACAAACACAAAAGCACATTGCCACACAATTTCATTGGAAAGGCATGCGTACATCTATCCAGAACTTCATAGTTGGGTGTGCAGTATACCAACAAAACAAGTCAGCCACTACAACACCAGCAGGCCTCTTGCAACCACTCCCAATACCAACCCAAGTCTGGGATGATATATCAATGGATTTCATCACGGGATTGCCCGTTTCTGCCGGCAAAACAGTTATCCTTGTGGTAGTAGATAGACTGACAAAATATAGTCATTTCCTACCTCTATCACACCCATTTACAGCAGCCATAGTTGCTGAATTATTCCCCCGGGAAATTGTGCACCTACATGGGCTCCCCAACTCAATTGTATCAGACAGAGACCCTATCTTTATGAGCCATTTCTAGGCTGAGCTTTTCCGCCTACACGGGGTTAAACTATTCAAGTCAACTAACTACCACCCCCAATCTGATGGATAGACAGAGGCGGTTAACAAGAGTCTCGAAACATATCTAAGATGCTTCACGGGAGATCGACCAAGACAATGGATGAAGTGGATCCACTGGGCCGAATGGTGGTACAACACCACTTTCCATAGCGCCGCGGGGATGACACCCTTCAGATCTTTATATGGTCGGGACCCTCCCCCTCTACTTCCTCATGAAAAAGGAACCACCACAGTAGCGGTCGTTGAAGAACAACTAACGCAACGGGATGAAGTGCTAAGGGAACTGAGACATCATCTCTTACAGGCACAGCAATGGATGAAGCACACACCTATGATAAACACCACAAGAATGTCCAATATGAAGTAGGTGATTGGGTGTTTCTCAAATTACAACCTTTCAGGCAGATTTCAGTTGCAAACCGACAGTGGAACAAACTCAGCCCRCGCTATTTTGGCCCATTTAAAATCCTGGAGAGAATAGGATCAGTGGTCTACAAACTGGACCTTCTGGCAACATCCAAACTGCACCCTGTATTCCATATCTCCTTACTAAAGAAGGGGCCAAAGTCAGGAGTCATTACAAGTGCGACCCTTCCCATATTTTCAGAAGAAGGACAAGTGCAGACTGAGCCAACCTGCATCATTGATTTCAGATGGGCGCACAGGGGAGGCAGAGTCATACCAGAGGCATTAGTTGTTTGATTTAACCTTCTGGAAGAGGATGCAACCTGGGAATCCTACTTAGATCTGCAATCAAATTTCCCTACATTAGACCTTGAGGGCAAGGTCGCTCTAAAGGAAGGGGGGATTGTCAAGACTGYTGGAACAGACCAACAGAAGGCAGTTAATCAGTTTTACAAGAGGAGGCCACGTCAGCACAACTAACCATCCACTTGTAACAACTGTAACAGAAAGACAATCAAGATTGTAAAACTATAAGTAGTAGAGCAGAAAAGGAATAGAGCATTGATTCTTTCAACATTAAACTCTCTCTCTCTCTCTCTCTCCTCTCTCCTCTCTCCTCTCTCTTCTTCCAAGAATTCAGGAGGTTGGCCCCTCGAAGAGCCCTGAGTTAGGCAGGTTCCTAACATCTGGGCTATTTTATTTTCACTTGTGATAGCCAGGGGAAAAAGGCAAAGCAGAGATTATCAGAGAGATTTGCAAATACTTGACTATGTACAACAGAAAAGGTTAAAAATTGCACAAAGATTGCAGTTTTGGCTGCTTAAAAATTGCACAAAGATTGTTGTATGAATGACAAGAAAGACTACAAGAACAAGTCAGATTTAATTTGTTGAAAGAAATCATTGAAACAAACCCTAAGACCACTTAATCCTCCAATAATCCAAAGAAGAGATGCAAACAGACCTCTGATCCATGCTTCATAAGAAATGTCTCCTGCACCCCACCTGGCACTACGATGCAACTATAACCAGCTTCCAGAAGTGAGGTAAAACTCCTCTTCGTTGCAGGGGTAAGCCCCAGCCAGGTCCATATATGCCTCAGGAATGGTGTATAGAAAACCTGGTCATTTTCCACAAATATGAATAAAGAAGAAAATAGTGAAAAGGTCCCAATCATACCTAAAGGCATCAAAGGTAGAAATCATACAGCACTACTTGCTAGAACTTTGATTTTTGAGAGACACATGAATCCCGTAAGGTCCGCAAGAGCAACAACTCCAATTGGCAAAACCGAATGTGGTTCATACCCAAAGACTGCAGAAGGTGTTGGAGACTTGGAGTCACTAAGAAAGATTTCAAGTTTTTTTTTAATATGTGGATAGAAAGATATCAAGATTATCCATCATCTAGGTGTTGTACATACAAGGTAGTAAAAAAGAATAAATCCTTAAGTCATACAGAAGCAAAAAACAAAAAATGCCTTACCCAGATACCTGATGGGTAGCTTTGCAACAAAGAAATCTCTTAAGGAGATGAACAGATGATAGCATGAATAGTCCAATGACCTCCCGCCAAGACATCACATATTCACAATTCGAAGCATTGATTATTGATTCACTGGACAATTCACTTAAGACCAGGAATTGAAATGATTTGGTACCAAGCCTGCCATTCTGGTAGGACTCAGTTGAGTTATCAAAGTAAACAATGTTCTAACCAGTGATTTTATTTTGTAGATGTTTGAGGTGTAAGGCCTGAACTGTTTTTCAACGCAAGGTGTGAATAATGTACCAAAAGGTGCAAGTATGAAGAATATCGTGCTCGTGAGGTGTGAAGCATACCAAATATGCCCTATAATAACATCCTTCCCATCTATCTCTTTTGCTCATGTACATAGAAACCTTAATCAGTTAGCTCATCTGTTCACATTTTTTCATGCAAAGGCCAAGTAATTATTAGCTACAATTCGGCCTCTCAACCTTATGTAAGGTTATCGGTAAATAAATGAAGCCGCTCTGTTAATAATAAAAAAAAAGACACCAGTAGGCCTACATACTGGATGTTCTCTTTGTTTACAAACCAAACAAACCTAATATTCTTGAACATGACTCACAACCTAGTTCATTTTACCCACAAGGGTATTTAGATGCCGGCCACATGGCCTATACCAAACTCATTCTAACAAATACAGGATGAAAGAAACTAAAAGAAGAGTATTCCAAGAAAATGCTGAAGCGATAAAACACCCAGTGTATTCTTAGACGCTTCCTATATTTATAATTTTGTTTTCTTGCGATGCATTGTACCCTTATTCTCCTTTTTAGTGAATGAAAGTTTTTTGATATGTTCCTACAATTTTGTTGTGGTCTGGTAAATTCTGCCCATTGTAAGATTTCGCCTTCTCTTCTCGTCGTAGGTAAAGCTCTAACCAAAGGATTGCTACCTGATAGAGAATATTGTAAGTCATTCCTCTTATCTTTACTCCTTTTCCTCTCACAAAACACCATATCCCCATGTTGGTACCGGCTATCTGGGATCTTGCGAGGGGTGAATTGGACGGTGGATACAGACCTAACCTTTAGCATATTTTCACAAACTACTCCCAGACTTGTATTTGCATTTTCACACTTGTCAGCGCGGGATTTTATCATTACACAAAGCTATGGTATCCATGGTTTATCTGTACAATGTACTGTTTAGGCCAACCGCATATTAGCTCACTGGCCCAGTCGCCCAGATGAGTAGAGTCCGCCATGAAAAAAATCAGTGTGATCTAGCTAACACCAGTCGTAGTCGAGAATCCAGGTCTATCGGGCAGGCCAAAAAGAATAGAAAATCAGTGTGATCTAGCTAGATCACACTGATCTAGCTAACACATACCATAAGCTTGATTGGGGTCAAACGCCTTCATATCCTCTACATACAGCGTCACCGGAAAATATCCACAGCAACGGTTACAGATATACCTGAAATTCGTTCATATAAAATTACACACCATAGAATAGAATTACAAAAAAAAAAGGTTATTCAATCAAACTTAATTTAAGAAAAATAGGGGGAAAACGACTCCGATTGTACCTTGCCAATCTTCGACCTACTTTACTTCTATCGTCAATAGGAAGTACCATCAAAAACAGGAGGAGACCAAAAATCCTGAAAAAAAGGGTGTCAGAAAGAAGGGGGGCAGGGGCAAATCAGGATGGGATAAAGGGTGAGAAAGGCTGACGGAGAAGGAGGAAAAGGAGAAGAGGTTGAGTACGCACAAGAAAGCTAGGTGAGTAGGAAGGAAGAATGCGGTGATAACCAATGCGGCGGTGAAATGGATAGAGCCCAGCCAAATGGCGAGAGCCGTAACCGCCTGCAACAGCGAAGATTCTTTTGCCCGGAATACCGTCGGCTCTTCGCCTGCGTTAACGGAGTTTCCGCGGATTCCGTTAGTCTCCTCCATGGATATAGCTATTACAGAGAGAGAGAGAGAGAGAGATTTAAGGATGACCGAGAAAGTTCTACTTTTAAAAAAAAGCTCGGCTTGCTTTGGATTTGTTGATTAGAGCAGTGAGAAAGGCAAGTAGAAATAAGTAGAAGAATAGTACTTGTCATCATTACCGTCTACGCGTTTACCAAACCAGCACCTTCTCCGTTGTCCACGGCTTACCTACAGTACGATGCAATTGAAGGCCGTTAGAGTGGCGTATTGGTGTCGGTAGAGAATTATGGGTAGAAAATCCGGACACGGAAACTCCGTCGACCTCGCATTACACGTGTGACGTGTAATATAAATTTTCTAAGGCTCAGTTTGGAAGGAGTATTTATTATTTTGTATGTATTTATACCGTATGTATTTGTATTTATACTCTTTTGAAACTGAGCCTAAATCTCGATATATATTTTAGAAAGAATACAAATATAAATATAAATATGTATTTATATTGTATATATTTGTATTTGTACATTTTTAAAATTAAGCTTAAAGTTTAATTTGAAAGGAGTACAAATATAAATATGTACAATTAAATACATACAAAATATAAGGTTTTGCACTTTACATATTTCTATTTGTATTCCTTTTAAATGGAGCCTAAAGCTGGATTTGAAATTTGGAAAGAATGTAAATACAAATATGTATAATATTTATACATACAAAATACAAGGTTTTACGCTCTATATATTTGCATTTGTACTCCTTCCAAACTGAGCTTGTGTTTAGAATTGATGTAAAATATAATTGATGTAAATATTTATACCGGTTTGATTTTGTCCATGTTTGGAATGAGTGTATAATTATAATCGATACAAGACTCCACTATAGATGAATTTTGCATAGTTTAGATGGAGTGGAGTTTTATATCATAAATCAATGTAAAAGTTCATTAAAGCAGAGTTTTACATCGACTATCAATGTAAATATTACATCAATAAAATTGATGTAAAACTCCATTATTTCATGCATAGTTTTCGAAATTCAAACGGTTACTTTTTAATGGTTCGATGTAAGATGTTTTACGTCAGTTAAAGAATTTTTCTTGCGAACTCACATTGGTGCTCATGCATATCTCACGATGCATTGGGTATTAAGATATTTCCAATACACGGGTGATATGTGTTGAGAGTCACACTTTATCGAGTGGGATGAGGGATCAAGATTCATCCCACCTGTACGGTGGAACTAAGAATTTAAGAAGTGGACTGAACAGTAAAAACCCCTTAAGGGGTGTAGTGAATCATAGGTGGAGGTATCGATACATAAAACCCAAAAATCTAATAAAAATCTCTAAATTGACTGAAGTCTAAATTTTCACATCCTCTTATAATGACATACATTAAAGCCCATTTGGTAATAGGGGTATTTTGATTCCATCTGTATGGTTGGGTGGAATCAAAATCCTATTTCCATTTATGGTGTAACGGGATTCGCCTTATTTGTGGTAATGGCCAATTTCTCCCCATTTCTTAGAAATGCAATCCCATTTCAGCTAATTTCAATTCATGTATGAACCAAATAGACTATCGGAATTAGGCCATTATTATTCTAATTTTGAGAAATTGAAATTTCAACTCCGACAAAGAGTTAAAATCCTTGAGAACTATAATTGGAATGGTCTATTCCTATAGCCTGTTTGGTTTAAAAATCAGAATGAAAAATGAAATCAGCTAGAATGGAATTTCATTCCCATGAAAAGGTAAAAGAATGGCCATTCCTTCAAATGAGGGAAAGCCATTCCACCAACAATGAGAATACAATTCCAATTCTTTATGCCCAACCAAACAGGCCCTAAATACTTAAATTCTTTATTTCCACCATTTCCTCCTTCCCCTCAAGCTTGTATCTAGAATCACACCACAAAACGCCGGAAAGCACCTGTGTCCAGTCAATGGTAACTTAGCCCTACGATTCCACTGCATGCCGCTGGTGCACCCCGGGGCTCAGGGCTCTACAGAGGGAGCATTGTATGCTGTGCCTTGTTAGTGGCAATGTGGGTAGCCCATCCCACAAGGCACAAGCTGTTTATATTGCCAAAGGATGACAATGCCGGAGGCGGAAACGTTACTCCAATCCAAGGTTTTTGAACCGCCGTTGATTCAGACGGTCTGACCGTTCGGTTCAAGAACTATTTAAGCAATTGGTTCTGTTTTATTCCAAACCCGATTTTGGTAAAAAAATCATTGAAAAAGTCAATAATCTGTTGACCCAGGCGGTCAAACCATCAACCCTTTCAATAGTTTTTGACTATTTTTTATTTTTAATTATTTTTTATTTTGTTTTTAATTTATTTGTTAGAACAAGCCATCCGTTTGAATCAAACGATCGGACCATCAACCCGAAAACCGATGGCTAAAACGGTTCTATTTCCATATCGTTTTTTAAAACGTTGCTCCAACCAACATATCTGGGAATTTGGATTAGCTGAATATGATAGTTGTTTAGTAGGTTTTCCTAGAACCAGCCTAGGTCTGGATATAGTGTCCCGATTATTATTGATGAACTAGTTCCACTCAATCTTGAATTGATTCAGACCCAACCCAAGTTATATTCATATAATATATAATATATATTAAATAAATTATATATAATATATTTAATATTTAATATATTAAACGTATTTATTTATTATAATTGGGTCTATCCTGATTATTCCAAAAACTGATTGATTTGGTTCTAAGTCTGAAAATTACAACTCTATCAGATCTAGTTTGGTTCTGAGTATTCAATATTTCCTATAAAGTCAATTCAGGTTCTAGCTGGCCACGGCCCCAGACTCCAACCCTTTGAGTCTTAAATGGAGAAGTACGAAAACACCCGATGCAGAATTCTGAATTCCAACCCCTCTACTACTAGCCCTCTTTTCCCTATAAACTACATCATGCCCGTGAACATCAATTCACGGTCAGGATGTCAGGATGCATTCCTTCTGTACTATAGGACTATAAAATTCTGATCTGGACTGATTATGATTCTCCCTAAATTAATTAAATAGTTGTGGGACCATCTATTTTATTACTTGTGTGGACAGTTATTAATGGTTCTACGGCCGGCTGAACTACTATTGCATGCAGGCTTCATCCTTACTCTGGGCAGAGAGGACGCTCCTTTTCCGGGAATGGCATCCTTCTACTTTTCCCACATTTTTCGTGAATTAGAAAATGTTAACATGCACTGCACGTGGCGAGCGAGTTCAGATGATGATATTGACGATCATATTACCCATACTAATAATAATAATAACACTATATGAAGCTGGGTATAATATTATATGTTATAGAATACAAAAAGGAAACGTTTAAGCTCAATTTGAAAATAATACAAATATAAATATATACAGTATAAATGCATATAAAATAATACAAAATATAAAGTTTTATATATTTATTTTTTACTCCTTTTAAATTGTAGGCCTCATATGAGACCTCAGGTGGGACTTTCATCAAAATTGGATTTTCATGAAAAGTGGTAATCAATCAGGTGGATTTTTATCAAAAGTTTAGGGGTAAGGTGGGGGGGATTTTTACCGGTCAAGTCCTTTCTTATGTCATGTCTTCTTCAATTAAAATAACTCAATTAGAGGTGTAAATTGGCCCACCTAAAATATAGCTGTTGCCCCCCCCCCCCCCTCCGCCAAAGGGGCCCAACCGCTAGTTTCAGATTTAGGGGGTTATAGAAATACTCCCCAATAGYTATAAACAACCATATTAGGGGGGTATTTTGTGTATTTTGCTTATGGGGGTTGAAAAAATGACATAAATGCCCCCCAATAGTTATATAACAACTAGTTTAAGGGGGCTTTTTGGGTAAAATAATAAATAACTTTACAATGACCAAAATATCTCCCAATAACTAAATAACAACTAGTTTTTTGGGTAATTGAATTATGTTTAATTCCTATAAATAGCCCATCATCCACCATTCTCATCACACCAATTCAACAATTCTCCTAATCTCTTCTCTCTCTCTCTCTCTCATACATTCTCAATTTTCTACAATCTAAGTAATTTTGATTAGCTGATTGTCTGATTCTGCATTCTCCAATTCTCAAGTCTCAACTTTATTGAAATTTCAACTTTCAACAAGAAGAATGCTTGTTCAATCAACTCAAGTATCTCAATTTGGGAGGCTTAGACAACCATTGAAATCAAGTTAGGATTTTGAACCGGCAATCCGGGTAAGTCGAATTAGATTAATTTTTATCTTTTAGAATTAAAAAAAAATGGCCAACTCTTATGAAAACCGATTCCCAAATATGTTTACCATTGATGATATTCAATCGCATCATGATAGTGTTAGCACTGATGTGATTGATGTCGATGGAAGTGGAACTTTCACTCCCGGTAGTGATACTAGGGGAAAAAGGAGGGCCTCTAAGTTGAGTAGTCCGGTTTGGGAAATTTTCAAAGTAGAGGATATCAAGGGGAAAGGGAAAAGGGTCATTTGCCAAAAATGTAGGAAGGACTTTAGTTATTGTAGCAAGGGTGGTACGAGTCATTTGAGTAGACATCTGCTTACACATGAGAAAGAAGATGAAGGAAGAGAAACAAACCAAACACAAATTGGGAGGGGGAATAGTTTTGGTACTTTTAAATATTCATAAGAAAAAATGAAACAAGAACTTGCTAAGTATATTGTACATGCAGAACAACCATTTATATTAGTTGAAGATCCAAAGGTAGAAAAATGGTTACGTAGTTCTATAAACCCACAATATAAAAAAGTTACTAGGAATACTATAAGAACTGATGCTTTAAATTTTTTTTATTCATATAAACAAATTTTAATTTCTTTGTTAGCAAATCTTAATTCTAAAGCTGCAATTACTTCGGATGTTTGGACATCCATATTTAATATTAATTATATTTGTTTTACCGGCCATTTTATTGATGAAAATTGGTTTTTGAATAAAAGAATTTTAAGTTTTACTAGGCTTGAATGGCCATTTTATTTATGTCAAAATTATGGTTTAAAATATAAATATTTTATATTAGATGTATAGCATAGGTAGTACATATGCTATGTTAGAAAGTTGTATATCTCATTAACAAATTCTTTCTGATTTTTATAATTCAAAAATGCCTAATGATATGATATTTGAGGAAGATTGGGAAATGACAGTCAGTATAAGAGACTTTTTAAAACATTTTTATGATGCAACTAATTAATTTATTATCCAACTAGTTGTAATTTACCTTATCATTAATGATAATTAGTGATTGTTTTTCAAAATATAAAAATAATCCACAATTTCAATGTATTGTTGAAATAATGGAAAATAAATTTAAAAAATATTGGGAGAACATATCTCCCCTTTATTCTTTAACTACAATATTAGACCCTAGGATTAGGAAATATGATTTAGATATTTTATTTGAATCATATTGTGAAAATATGAATATTAATATGGGAAATAAAAAAGAAGAAATTAACTATTTATTATTTGAAATGTACAATTTGTATGAATCTAAAATTGTAGAAAATATTCCTACAACTTGTTCATCATCTTCTTTTACTTCTGACCTTGAGCCCAGTAGTAGAAGAGAAAAACTTTTTTATTTAATAAGTAAAAGGCAGAAATGTGCTAGTTCTACAACAAATTCATTTACTAAACTTAATTTTTATTTACAAGCAAATTTTTCTAATTTAGACGAAGGATCAAATAATTTTGATATTTACAAGCCCACCATGGCACATGATCTACTAGCCCCTCCGATGTCTACAGTTCCATCAGAGTCTTGTTTTAGTGCAGGTACCAGGGTGCTCAATGACAAAAGAAGCTGCATGAACGATGAAAGCATAGAGATGTGCATCTGTCTCAAGGATTGGCTAGATGAGAAGATAGATTATAAGACAAATGAGGGTATGATACTACACCGAATATTTCACCTAAAGCAAATGATGATATTCAAGAATTTGACTACTTGTATAGAATTTTTTATTTTTTTCAAATTATTGTAATTTTTTATTTTATTTAATTTATTTGATTTTTTTTTATTTTTTAACAATGTAATTTTGTATTTTCAATGTGTAACCATACTGTATTTTTTATATTTTATTAATTTATTCCATTTTCATATTTCATTCATCCAAGTATCTAATGATCCAATTATTGTATTTGTAATTTGTACCATTCAAATTTAAATGAAATAAAATTCCTATTTTTCTTCCAATTTGTTATTCCATCATTCTTATTTCAATTTGGTTAAGTATTTTTTTCATTTATGTGTTACATAACTTAGATTTCTCATTTCTTAATTTTTTAAATAGTTTCCAATTCCCAAAGTTCAAAGAAAAGTTAAATATTTTAATTTTACAATTTTACTTAGAAAAGAAATCAAAATTAAAAAAAAAAAAAACAGTGCAGCCCAATTCAGCCCAGGCCCAAGGCCCGCCCCGGCACGGCCTGCAGCCAGCCCAGGCTCGCAGCACGGCATGACACACCACGGGTCCGCCTGGGCCTGGGCCGAGGGCCATGTCGTGCCAACCCCCAAATTTTCCACCGGGGAGGGCAGCATGGCCCATAGGCCAGCACGGCATGACTCGCCTTTTGAGCGGGCCACCCACAACCTCTAAACTCAATTCAGTTAACTGAAACTTGAGTGCTCCCAAATGAGCCCTACATTGGCCTTACTAAATATGGGCCATTCTGAGGGCTCTCTAACTTAAACTGACCTGCTAATGACCTAGTAGTCGGATGGTCACTAGGCATCCTTTAAGAGAGAATGGACCTCATGTGCACCTTGCTATGCCTCCACTCCATGATACCCCCACTCTGTGCAATATGTATAATACGAGAGAGAGAGAGAAGACTTAAATTAACCCAAAGCTATACATATAAAGCCATGTTTTTTCTAATGTGAAATGGGCATAAAAGTTTTTTCGAAAGAAATTCTTTAATATTATTTCCTTTGCTTTTTGGTCTATCTAATAGTTTGACAAAATTCAGGGATAAATACTTGAAAAAACTCCCCTTACTCTTCTGACAAATATCAAAACCTCCAATGAGTAGCGAATGAACAATATAACATTTAGATTCTAATGATTATCGAAGACTGTATTTGGTTTTAAGGAAAAAAAAAAAAAAGTAAGGAAAGGAACTTTTACAAACCTTATATAAGTTTCCTTACTTTTCCTTCAAACCAAACATAGCCTAAGCGATAACCAACATCTGGTAACTAGAGTTTGACGTCCAATGCTTTGGCATCGCATCGCATAAACAATCTGGTCTAAAAACCCTGAAACAGAGAAAAGATAATAACCATTCAAAATAACAGAGAGAGAGAGAGAGGACACAAGCCGGGGGTCCTGGACTCCTGGGTGACTGAGAATGTCAATGAATAGTAGTAACAGATTAGATGGGAGATTAATGGCAAATATCCAACTTTTATTCAGATATGTTTCTAGTACCAACATGTACGTTTCTAGATCCTAGTACATTTTTGTGCTTTCCCTTCCCTTGTAGCCCAGACAAGCAAAATGCGACTGTTGAGGTAAAAATTTTAATTATTTTTGTGAACTATGGACTCTTGAGATGCACTCAAAACAAACATCACAAAATGATGAAAACCAATATCTATTTCAACTGTTTTAATTTAATTAATATTTACTTAAACAGAAGTAATTACAGGTTGTTATACCCAGAACAAGCGTTTGTAGGCAGGCCTCAGTAGCGACTTGAGATTGAGAATTGCGCAAGTAATACGGCAGGCGTGACTACTTCTACTTGGGTTGGGACATGGTATTTCTTCTTGAAATGATATTGATGGTAAAAGATGGATCTTGAACTCTAACGAAGTTTGATGGTTGATTATCTCTCTCGGGTAATCCATCCATTGTCTGGCAAACCACAACTCTGATGTTACTGAGCCTTTCCCTTACTCCGAAAATAAGGTTTAAATAAAAACATCTGTATCTGTATAATATACATGATTAAATACTTCTCTATCTCTATCTCTATGGAGTATGGATCAGTCAGTACAGCAGCAACAGCAGCCTTGCTAGCCTCCAGACGAAAGTAATAACAGAGTTCAGCAAAGCCACATTGAAAATTTACTCCACCTTCACTATTAATAATACACGAAAAAATATCAATATCCAATGCCAGGGCAGGGATGTGTCGATACTCGATCTCGCCATTCAGATTCATTCAATTCAATCCTTTAAACCAAGTCTTACATTTTGAACTTTCACCGACAGTTTTAACTTTTGTTCCTCCATATCTTTCAAAATCGCAAGTAGATTTGCTCGATATACTTCACATCGTTGATTTGCATTGTCCAACTCAGAGGTCAACTCCATAATTTTCTTGTCCTTCTCATCCTATATAAAACAATGACGGACAAATAAGTTAACAAAAAAAAAAAACCCAAGCATGATAACAGGTTAATGGATACACAAATCATCCACAGTCAATACAAGTTTTTCAAACTAAAAACAAAGCCCAATGCAGTGCAATAACCCATAAATTCTATGCAAAAGAGGAAACAAAAAAGTCATTTATGGAAGAAGGTCAAAATATTCTTCATTCAACCTTGGTTGCGCAAGAGTAGCAAGTAAATACCTCGTGAACCAATCACACTAAAGAACGAGCAAGTCCCTTTTAGAGAAGATCACTAATTCAGCAACCACTGAAGGAAGCTTTTACATTAAGAAAATAAATGCAGAAAATAAACAGAACTCCCATTCAGGGGGTCCCCTATATCTCTAAAATCACTTCTCCAATCTAGGCCATGGGCCAATGCATAAGAATCTGACTAGTGGCCTCTGATATTTGACTTATCCCAAGGTATTGGTTCCATCATGACAACATGAGTGTTGATATGGGATGTGTGCTAATTCTTTTTCTGTCCATGGGGAAGATGATGTTTTGGTTGGGGATGGATTACAAGGTCACCTTAGAACATATGAAGTACCGAACCTCTTCTCAAGGGGAGCGGTGGTTGCTACTTTGGTTGCTTCCCATGACTGGAAAGTGGAGTGATCCAGCACTGTTGGCAAGTGCAGATATGATGACAGTAGGATACATTTTGAGAGCTCAATCACACAGTCACTATAACCATCTTATTGTGAGTATTGCAACTTTGCAAAGTACAAATCAAGGGAGTTTGCAAGGCAGATCAACCATGACAGTTCAAACATGTGGATGATTGTGGGTTAAACTTCAACATTACCACCACCCACAAGGAGGTTATATTAGAAAAGTAACCAGATTGATCTGCATGGGTTGTCCAACAGTTCAAACAGTTTGGATGTGATCAGGAAGAAGGGCTTTCTTTGCTATCCACAACGAGGGGGGAAAAGGGAAGAAGATGGAAAAAAGAGAGAAGGTTTTTGGAGCCTCTGTTTTTAACTTTAAATAATTTCCAATTTTTCTTTTTTTTTATTTTATAAGGATTGCTTGGCCCCTTTTCCCATCGAAGGAATCTTTTAACTTAAAGGTGATGTAATCCAATCATGTCATACAGGGTGGTGGTTGTGAATAAAGATCCAGTAGAATACAGTTAAATGCCAATATTAAAATTAAAAAATATATATATGATATTTTACCTTCACAAAAGAACAGAAAAAATACAAAATAAATAAAACTACAGCATTTGCCCCATTCTGTTCAGTGTCATATCTATTGTTAAATAATGGACCTTAAATAATTTCTTACTACTTCAATCCATGTCCTTTTTGGTCTGACCCTATCTCTTTTAGTCCATTTGACTAGTAACAGATTAGTTCTTACTGGTGCTGTAGATGGCCTTCTCTGCATGTGCCCAAACCACCTCAGTCAACTTTCCCTCATTTTATCACCTATTAAAGCTACTCCTGGGTTCCTTCGAGCAAATTCATTTCTAATCCTATCCTTTCTAGTTTTCCAACTCATCCATCTCAACATTCAGATTTCTGCCAAAATCATTTTGGATGTCGTTTCTGGACTGCCCAACTCTTTGCTCCATATAACATCTTGGCCTTGTAACTGTTTTATAAAATTTTTCTGTTAGTCTAAGCAGTATACTATAAATAATAAATCAAAAATTATGAAAACGCCATCATCATCCAAGCCTTATCCCAACTATATGGGATTGGCTACATGAATCCTGTTTTGCCATTTCGTTTTGTTTGATGCCATATCCATTTTTTTAAATATTGGCATTTAAATCATTTCTTAATACTATCCATGTCCTTTTTTGTCTACGGCTAGCCCTTCTAGCCCTTTCACTCTTTCAGCTTGTCATAAAATAATAATCGCTTCTTACAGGTGCTGTTGATGGTCTTCTATGCACGTAACCAACCATCTTAATCTACTTTCTCTCATTTTATAACTTGCTAGAGCTACTCCTAAGATCCTTTGAATGATTTCATTTCTGACCCTATCCTTTTTACATTTTCAACTCATCCATCTTAGCAAACATATTTCTGCCACACTCATTTTTTGGGCATATTGTTTCTTGACTGCCCAACACTCTATACAGCATGGCTAGCCATGCAGCTGTTTTATAGAATTTTCTTTCCTATCACATAAAGTCCAGATGCACCCATCCATTTTGCCCATCCTGCTCTAATTCTATATGCAACATCCTCCTCAATCTCTCCCTTGTTATGAATAACATACCAAGGTACCAGAAAGGCTCACATTGAGTTATCTCTTGGTCTCCAATCCTAAGTGTGCCCTGATTTGCACTCCTATTGTTATTAAATTTACATATGATATATATATTCTGTCTGTTTTAGTTAATTTAAAATCTTATATTTCTTAGGAATTTTTCCCATAAGCCTAATTTTGCATTTAATCCTTCATTAGTTTCATCAATTAAAACAGTGTAATCAGAAAATAACATGCACCATAAGACCTCCTCCTGAATATGTTTAGTCAATTCATCTATGATTAGTGCAAAAAAACAAGGGCCAAGTGCAGAACCTTGATGAAAACACAATTATGGAAATGCCATCTTTAAGCAAAATCCACAGGGACTTTGAGACGACCAAGATTTTAAATTCTAATAAGATCTGATCAAGGTTCAAAGTATCGACATGTATCGGGCTGTATCAGCCAATACGTATCGTATCGGGAGCTTCCCGATATGCCCCTAAAGAGGGTGTATCGGGGTTTTGACTGGTTCAGGGGGTGGACAGACCTTAAACCGGCCCCTCTGAACCAGATTTGAAAAAAAAAAAACAACTAAAAAAAAAGCTATTAATACTGCCTGATATGCCTCTTCCGGTGTATCGGGTGTATCGATATCTTGAACCTTGGATCTGATATGAACTATCTAGTATGGACCAACTAAAATCCCTTTTTGGCTTAATTAAATTCCCCACTCCTTAATTAGGAAGAAATCATGCTTTGATTTTTCCTGCCACTGTTTTTTAGTGGATATTAGTGCCTGCATCTACACCCTAGTCTAAGTTCTACTTGAGCATGCCTTCATTTTTCTCAAAATCATTACGTCCTTGTTTGGAGAATTTATTAATACTGCATGTAAGCCTATGTATAGGCATCCTCATAAGCATAGTGAACAACTTGATCACATGACTGAAGGCCAAGAATGCAAACAGCTGAAAGAGGCTTTAATGACTTAAACTTCAGTTGATCTCACTTCAACCATCATTGTGACTTGATTCTTGGGCAAGATACTACATACGGTGGGATAATCATTTTTTTAGTAAACAATGATTCCATAACAACACCTTTGGGATCATACACATCAAGCAATCAAACACACAAAATAACCACCCCAAGCAAGACAAGCTCCACCCTGCTAAACCACTAAAACAAATACACAATAAGAAAACCAACATAAACCATGTCCAATCAATGCAATCTTCAAGCCTCCAAGTCCAACACTAAATACCCACCCACCTTTCCCCTTTCTTGCTTAGCATCCTTTCATCTCCATTAAGCTCAACTCCTAATACCATAGACTTGATTAGTTTATGGTTTAGATTCTCTCCTTGCAATGGCCACTCTGCATATATTGCCTTAGACCTACACAACCCACTATAGGAGTAAACTTTGAAGATTCCTAATTTGTTCAGTAGCAACACTCCAATAAACCTTGAAGAACATGAATATAAGAAAAATATAATGAAGTCGTAGAATGGTTGCATGGTAGCTAACTCTAATACCCCCCCCCCAATAAAGTCTGCTTGATAGACCTTGCTGGTAAGCTCAATTTGGGAGGCCCATATGCACATTTCCATGAAAATGAGCATAAATTTAAAGGGTTTAACCTATGATGAGTCTGTTGAGCCAACCTGTAGCATTGTCACTCCTTCAAACCTCAAGAAAGAAAGTAATACTATTAGCCAAAGTTACTCTATTTTTCCTCCAATTTCAGTCCACATGACAAATCAACTTCAACCATCTCCAGAACAATGTGGGGTTGCAGAATGTAAGATCACCCTTTTCTCAAAACTACCACCAAGGTTCTGTTTGATTCCCCTGAAATTTCAGCTCAAAAGAAGACATCACCCTGCTACCTCTGTATGCACAACCTTATTGCAACTCCAAAATATTCTTCATCCAAGTCAAAATATTCTTATTTAGTCAGCCATGTCTCCCCCACTCCCCAAAATTTTTCCTCAGGTAAATCTTCAAATTGATGAGGTTAACTGCTTGAAGTTGTAGAACAAGGCAACAGGGATAGTGAAGCCTCAGCAAAACCCATTGATTGCTATAAACAATAGGAGCACTTAAAGAAAGTTCCAACAAATGAAAAGGCTTCAACATAATAAGAATTTTTTGAGAAAAAATAACTGATTATATCAAAGAGGAACTTCAAAGGTACATGAGATGATGTATAAAAGAAAAGCCACAATTAGAAATTACAAGGCAGATTTGTATCACTGATAAAAGCTTCCCTGTGGGTACCCTACTTGGCCAACTGATCTTACATAGAGCTTAACACTCTAGGAACCCAATAAATCTTTGCATTCAGCACAAACAAGATATTTCTGGTCTCTTGTAAATAATGAGCCAACCTCCAGGGGCCTTCTTCCCTCTCACCTAACCACTTAACAGTATTAACAGAATCACCTACAATGGTTAGAGAAGACAAACCCCTTTCTTTTGCTATTCTGAGGCCTGTGAGAGCTGCCACGATCTCTGCTTTAGTTGAATCAGTAATCCCAAATGGACCACTGAAAACCCAGCAAATGCTTACATCCTTCCTCCTCAAAAGACCAATCCCTGCAGCTCAAGGACTGCTCGGGCACTACCATCAAAGTTTAAGCTGAAATCAGTCTCTTCTCTTGCAGGAACAAGACTAGGCCTGTTAAAATGGCCTGGAGACAACTGAAGAATCCCCACCACGTTCCTTTGAAGATGACTT